GCCTTTTTGCTGTTGGCCCAGTGATGAAAATTGTCCTGGGATAACAAGCTGGAGAGAGGCTGGGGCTCCCAACCTCAGCCACAGGGCGTTTGGGATCAGTCTGGGGAAACACCTTTCGCAGTCGCTGCTCAGGATGTGTTCTCTCTCGAGTAGATGGACAGGCTGTTTTTCTGCCACAGGGAAGTCCAGGTTTTCCAGTCCCATCAACAGGCACAGAAGCTCTCGCTCTGACTCAAGGTGATGGGCTTTCTCTTAGGCCTTCAGCCAACGTAGAAAACCACCAACAATTCAGATTAACACCCGTGTCATGTATCCCAGCACATCTTGGGCATCTTTGCAGCCCAGGATCCAGCAGCCCAAAAGCACAACCTTTATTTAGATCCACTTGGTACAATTCTGTCCCCACCATCATTTTTTATCTAGACTTTTATCAATACTTATTGTGGCCTTTTGGTATATAAAGGGAGACTTGTAAGGTAGACAGAGAAAGACTTTTTACCAGGGCCTGTAGTGAGAGGACAAAGGGACGGGTTTTAAACTGAAAAGAGGGTAGGATAGAATGGACTTAAGGAAGAAAAGTTTACAATAACAGTGGTGAGACACTGGAACAGGTTGCCCAGAGAGGTTGTGGATGCCCAGTCGCTGGAGGTGTTGAAGGTCAGCTTGGATAGTGAACTCATCAGGTCAAATGGTGAGATTTGAACAATCTCATCTAGCGGAAGATGTCCCTACCCACAACAGAGAGTTTGGACTTGATGATCTTCAAATACCTCTTCCAACCCAAACCAGTCTGTGATCCTATGTTTCCCAAAGAGAGCTATTTTTTGGAGCACCTTGGTGTTCTCATGCTATTTTCTACCAATTCCTTCAAGCAAGTTGTATGTTTGCAGCTACATATACATACAGATATGAACCTTTCTGCTGCATCTCCAGATAGCCCTTCACCCACCAGCTTCTAAAATCTGCCAAAGTTTGCATTGGTTTTTGGGTAACTTCTGCTTCTCCTCACACCTGCATCTGCTGGGAATGCAGGTGGACTACAGGCATCACAAAATATCAAGAGATGTTTCCTGCATCTCTGGATTTAAAGCCTTCCTGGGGACATTTCTCTCCTTTTATGTCTTTCTGAGGGCATCCATTAAGCTGAAGCAAAGAGAGATTTTTTTTTTTTACCAGGTGGATGCTGACACACAAAGCTTTGCATGCACTCAGAGGGTGACCATGCAAGGTCTGTGCCCGTGGGGAGCTGTGCTGCAGGCAAAGACGGGGAGAGCAAAATAGCCTCTCTTCAGGGTCCCCCTTACAGACTAAGAGGCCATTGGGCTGTTGATGGGTCTACTCATGGATGAGGGTGGACAGTGAAGGGACAGAGGTAGGGGAAGAGCAACTGGAGACCGATGAGAGGTGATGGATGTTGTCCTAACATCACAGACCTTGGCAGGACTATTTCACCAAACAGTTGTGGTTTGGGCAACCTCTCCAACTACATATGAGGGTACTTTAACAGAAGGGTTGATGGTTTTCTTCCATCCCTGTGCTGCAAACTTGAGGAATGAAGGTCCTGCTGGTCTTGTTCATCTGCTCCCCTTCCCAGCAGAGCGCATCTGAAAGCCAGTGAGGCTGGAGATGGGAAGATTCATTACTTTTGGCTTTCTTCAGGAGGCTTGCAATGGCAGGATGCGCTCCCTTGACATCCTGCTTGTTCCTGCTTGACACACAGCACGATGCCATTTTGCACCAGGGTCAGTGAGATCCCTGGTTCGTCTGGAGCATGAGCTGCAGTGGCAGAAGACAATTTCTTTGTCAGAGTTAAAACTCTGGCTTTGACTCCAGATTTGCAAACCAGTCCAGATTTTTGCTGTGGTTGTCATCTTCACTTTCAGATCTCCTTCTGCCATGTTGCTTGCCCATATGTAAGGAAGCTGTCCCAGAAACCTGTCTGTGCCAAAGTGAGCCACCAGCTGCATTAGGACACAACTTCTGGGAAGACACCAGCTGCCACTGGCTCAGCATCACCAGGACAGTGTTTATAGCACTCCTGTTGAACCTGGGGCTGCTCTCAGCTGTTGCACTTTGGCTTTGCAGGTATCAGCAGCCATTAGAGGGTCTGTGTTATGTACTCACTGCTCTGCAGTTCACTGTCTCAGAGGCTTAAGGTTCTACAGAGCCAGCTCAGAGCTGGGTGATACCCCCAGTACCTTCCCTTTTTTCCAGATTTCACTTTCCTGCTCCACCTTACCAGTATTGCATTTTCCTTGCCTGCCTCTCGGAGTGCAGTCGTGTGACAGTGGAGCACTGGGGAGGAGCACAGAGCAATCCCTGCCCTCCATGCATTTTGCCAGGTGCCCAAAACGGGTTTCAAAATGCAGACATGGGCTTGGTGATGCCCAGGAAGAGACAGGGCTTTAGCAGCAAAGGAGCAAGGTGGTCTGCTCCCACTGACTTTAGGTAATGCCAAAAAATAGGGGAAAACTGGTTGGTAGGAGAAGGGGAAGTAGAAAGAGATGAAACCTGGGAGGAGGAGGAAGAGGAGGACAAACCAGTCCTTAGTCAATGTGTTTGTGTCTGCAGGAGGAAGCTACTGGTCCCGGAGGATGACTGGGACAAGGGACTGTTGAGCCAGTTGCCCACTCAAGCACTGCTGGACTGGAATGAGGAGCAGAAGGAAAGGTGAGTGGTGGGACCAAGGGTGTCTACATCAGCTGACCTCCCAGGGGTTCAGATCTCGGGGCTCAGGTGGAAATAGCAAAAATGCCAGGAGTGCCAGAGTAAGAAAGGGAGAGGTCTAGAGCTGAGTAACAAGTAAAGCATCTCCATCCCAAAACTAATGGTCGTGATGCTTCCTGGGGCAGAAACTGCTCTACTGCTCTTTTCTCATGCCCAAGTAGAAATACTCTCCTTTAGACTAGGTTTAACCTTGAGAAAATGTGCCTTTGGTCTACCTACGCTATAGCACTATGGGAACACCTTGTTTTTACTGATTAGGGAGAAATTACTTTTTTTTTCCACGTAGGAAGCGAGGACAAGCAGCGGATCATGCACCCCAGGTCCTGGCTTCCTTACAGCATCAGGGAACAACCTCAGGGGGAGCTGCCCTCCCTGAGAAGCAAACTCTTGCAGAAGGTCTGCACGTACACATGGTGCAGGATTTTGCCTTCTTTTGGGTCAGAAATTGTAGTGCCAGTTATGACAAAAAACCAGCCTGGAGCGACAGCAAATGAGCTTGGTTTTGTCCTCCTTTGTAATGACACTTCTCAGTTATGCTCGGTATGCTTTTACGCATCCTGGGCTGAACCTGACCTAATTTTACTAAAGAGGCTGAAAAGAGACAGTTTAGTTTATAAAATCAGGGGCTTGGTGCACGTTTTCACCACATAGTTCTTCCAAAATCTTCTTCTCCCAGGCATGTGCAATCCAGCCAGGGATCTTGGTGTTTTCCAAGTCCCTCTGAGGGCATCTCACACCCCAGGGCAAAGATGAGGCTCAGGCTGGTGCTGCTTGATGGTACTTTACTGAAACCACCTTAACTTGTATTCTGATTACATAATAACCAAATAAACATGGGTAAATCATAACTCAGGATCCTGTAGGATAAAAAATGGGCTGTGAACCTGCACTTGGACTTTCCTACCTACATGAAATGCTTGATGGTCTCCCTGTAGCCTGCCCAAGCGTGTCGGTTCAGCCACAAGCCTGAGCAGTGCTGTCATCAACAACCGGCTCCAGGAGCTGGTGAAGCTCTTCAAAGAAAGGACTGAGAAGGTGAAGGAGAAGCTGATTGACCCTGACATCTCTTCAGATGATGAAAGCCCCGTTGCGTGTGAGTTTGAGTGGGATTGGGAGTCTTTACCTCGTGGGTCCCCACACACGCTGTGTTTTCAGGGATACAGCTGCTTTATTAACAGTTTAAAGGCCTTTAAAACAAATTGCTGTAAGAGAATTTTCTGCCCCTTAAAATAACTGTGTGGCCTCTTCCAGCCCCCACCAAGGCAGCGCCTGCGGCAGCACCAGGACCTCCCTCAGGAGGGGAGTCAGAGGGGGACAAGCCGGAGGGGGATGAGCACTACTGCGAGATGCTGTGCTGCACATTCAAGCACCACCCCTGGCTGAAACACCTGAAAAACTACCAGTTCCCCAGCAGTATTGACCCACTCACCAGTGAGTGATGGAGCCTGGCCACCTACCCAGGCTGGGGGCAAGCTGATGGGGCCAGAGGAGGGGATGAGAAGCAGGGGAGGTGTAAAAGATAAGACCTTGTAGAGAAGGGAGCAACTAAGTGAGGAGCAACTTATTTTACACTTGTCTACTAAAAAACAGAGTTTTAAATTCCCCCTCAAGGCATAGGTGTTCCTAAATACTTCCCAGTAGCTGTGGGTGTCAGGAGCATGAGCAGGCAGGGAAGGGGAGGCCACATTCTCCTTGTTAGGCTTTTCAGTGGGCAAATGCTGTCCTTGTGGTGTGGACAACCTGAATAAAAACAAAATCCACAAAAGAAAAATCCTCTGGCTGGTGGACACCTGACATGAACCCAGCTCCTTCCTTAGTCTTTGCTATTTCACAGCTGTTTCTAAGCCCCCAGGCTCGGGCAGGCAGACGTTGGCTCAGCAAGACCTCAAGGGAAAAAAACAAAGCAAGAAAGTTGGTGCGGTGGGAGCAAAGCAAAAGCAAATCCAGCACAAGCAGCAGGGTTAGAGGAAGGTTTCTGATAAAAAGCTACATGCTCTGCAAGCCGTGGGGTTTACTTTGCATCTTGAGCCCAGCTCACTTACAATTAGATGCTGTCAGAAAGAGATCTCCTGCAGGTTTCTCCCTTGCACGCAGAGCGGGGCATGAAAACCCCTTTGTGCAGTGGATTCACACAGACAAGGGATGTGAGCCCAGCTGATCATGGTGCGGTTCCTTGTGTGCAGATCTGATGTACGTGCTGTGGCTGTTTTTTGTCGTCGTGGCCTGGAACTGGAACTGCTGGTTGATCCCCGTCCGCTGGGCTTTCCCCTACCAGACCCCAGCAAACATCCACTGCTGGCTGCTGGTGGACTACCTCTGTGACCTCATCTATCTGCTGGACATCCTTGTCTTTCAGACCCGGCTGCAGTTTGTCCAGGGTGGAGACATAATTGTGAGTAGCAGCTCTCTGCATTCCACCAGTGGGGACTGACTGCGGTGACCTCCCATCCCCACCACCCTGAGTGGCATGGATGATGCTGGTCACTGAGCTCTGAATCGAGCTCTCCAAGCTCATCAGGAGCAGATAGCACAATAAACTCTGGCTTAATGCTCAGGAGCACAGCTAAGCACAATCCATTAGCAATATGACCAAAGTGATTGCAGCCTGCATGCACTGCTCACGTGCCTGAGATAAGTGAAAGCCCTTGGTTTTTTTTCCATATCCAATTAAATAAGCTGTGAAAAACAGAACCTTGAGGGTACCTTGAGCCTTCCAAATGCCAGCCCACGCAGACAGGGAAGTTTCTCTCATAGGCTCTGGTTTTTGTGGTGCTGACACTGCAGTGTGCTTTCTCTAGGGCGCAAAACAAGCATGGGATGTCCCGAGATAGGATGGGAAGATGGCATATGGCCAGATCTTCAGCTCTTCTTGCTCTGCTCTTCCCTTCCCAGGCATGAAGGGAGTGTGTGGCGCAGAAGACTAAGATGAGACGTGCCTGTGTTGGCCATGACTTTCCTTTCTGCAAGCAATGATTAATCTTCCTCTCTCTCTCCTTCCTATTCCCAACCAGACTGATAAAAAGGCCATGAAAAAGAACTACCTGCAATCACAACGCTTTAAGGTTTGATATAATTTTATTTATTAATCCAAATCTTTAATATGAACTGTGGCTTGCAGCTTCACTCCACCACGCCTGCAGGTCCTCACAGAGATTTCTTTCTTGTATGGGTTTCAGATGGATGTGGTGTGCCTCCTGCCCTTGGATTTCTTCTACTTCAAAGTCGGTGTAAACCCACTCCTGCGTTTTCCTCGCTGTCTGAAGGTGTGTCAGAGCTTACAAATTCTGGTTGCAGTGGATGTGGAGGAGTCCTGTGCTGGCTGGAGTAAGCTGTGGCTTGCGAGACTTATCAATGATGACAAGAGCTTTATAAAATGGATGGGAAGTCTTGTCCTGAAGGCTTTGTGAGGCTGTTGGTCAAACATTTAATTTCAATCCTACAACACCCTCACATTTGGATAGAAGGGCACTTAGAGATGGAGCCATATCCATCTGTGGCAGCTAATGCTGCAGAGGGCCTGCAGGAGGTAAATGGAGGGGAAGTGGGGTTTTATGGGGACGTAAGTCTTCTGGTGTGGCCACTGGAAGCTGGAGCACACTGCTTGCTTTCTCCTCCCAGTACATGGCCTTCTTCGAGTTCAACAACCGCCTGGAGGCTATCCTGAGCAAGGCATACATCTACAGGTGAGAGAGAGGGAGGGAGGGAGCAGGCAAGCAAGCGTGGGGTCGCTCTTTGCTGCTAGGAAAGAAAGCTCACTTTGGTGTGCACTCATTATGGGTTTCTGATTTACTTTCCTGCTGTCCGCTGGACTGGCTGACATGGGTGTTGGCTGGTGCAGGTGGGACTTGGGGGTCCTGGAGCCCCATGTGGACAAGTTCACCTCTCCCCAACCCAGCAGAGAAGGGGGTGCTGGTGGTTAAAAGGAGCCACCAGCAGATAAGCTGCTTTTTCAGGCACTTTGGGAGGGAGCAGCAGGGCTGCACATTTGAGCACTCAGTGGTTCCTGCATTGGCAGGACCTTCATAGTCAAATGCTCAGCTCATTGCTTTGAAGGTTGTTGTGATGCCAGGGTGGATCTAATTTGCTTCACCCAGCAAACACCATCTCATCTGCCCTTCTGCTCTCTGCTGTTTTTGTTGCAGAGTGATTCGGACCACTGCTTATTTACTGTACAGCTTGCATGTCAACTCCTGCCTCTATTACTGGGCGTCAGCCTATGAAGGACTCGGCTCTACCACCTGGGTCTATGATGGGGAAGGAAACAGGTATAAACCAAGGCTTGGGTCCTCATGTAGCACAGCTGCATGGAATGAGCTAGGAGGGAGGTATTAGGATGAAGCTGGGTTCAAAAAAACCCTGAAGCAAAAGGCTGGGGGTGCTAGGAGAAGATGTGGAGCCGGAGACAGGAGTGGTGTAATACACAGTAATACATATTGCTGCAATATTGTCCTTGGATTTGGAACTGGGGAGGCCACAGCTTGAGTGCTAGGGTCAGTTTTGAGTGCCACAGGATAAGAAAGACCTTGAGGGGTTGGAGCAGATCCAGAGAAGGGAAACGAAGCTGGTGAGGGCTCTGGGGAACATGGCTTGTGAGGAGTGGCTGAGGGACCTAGGGATGTTTAGTCTGGAGAAGAGGAGGCTGAGGGGAGACCTTGTTGCTCTCTACAACTCCCTGAACGGAGGTTGTAGTGAGGTGGGGGTTGGCCTCTTCTCCCAAGGAACCAGCACTAGGATGGTAGGAAATTGGCTGAAGTTGTGCCAGAGGAGGTTTCAGTTGGATGTGAGGAAGAATTTCTTCCCTGCCAGAGTGGTGGGGCATTGGCCCAGGCTGCCCAGGGAGGTGCTGGAGTCCCCATCCCTGCAGGGGTCCAAAACACTTGTGGATGTGGTACATCACTATGGTAGTGTTGGGTTGATGTTTGGACCTGATGATCTTAGAGATCTTTTCCAACCTTAATGATTGTATGACTACGAAGTGGCTGCAGCTGGGCTGAGGTGGAAGGCAATGGCAGGTTGAAGAGACTGAAAAACTGAAAACCTGGTGCTGGGAAACAAGAGAAAGCTCCCTGGCCAAGCAGGACAGCAATGTGAGCCGTGTTTCTGTTCGCGGTGACATTCTGCCAGGCTGGGAGGTGGGCTTGAAGTTGTGTGTCCTGGGTGCTATGTGTCAGGCCCCGTGTACCAGCCCAGCACCCTCATCTCAGGGTGTGAGAGAGGGATGGTGCCACCTGTTCCCTCGCTGTGGCATTTTGAAGGCACATGTCTGTTGTGTTGGCAGTGGTGGACACCACAGGGAGAGCACTCAGCTCATGAGCTGAATGCTGCCTCGTAGCAAATGCCCACACCTGCATGTTGTACAGCACAGGCAAATAAAATACTAACACTGAACTAATTTAGTGCCATGCAGTAAATGAGTTTCCTGCAACAAGGCATGGGCAAGAGTCCCTGTGCGTGTGGTGTGGGTGCCAGTGAGGAGAAGTAACTGTCACCCATGCAGCCTTAGGGTGGGTGCCCTTTGAGCACTCTGCTTTCCACATTAATGTTGCTGCTTTATAGTTATTTTTGCATATCTCTATCTCTAGGGGTAACTATATTATTCAAGGGAGTGCCCAAGACCAATGAATCAATAATTCACTTGACATCTTCTGAGTCCCATGCCCACAATTTGCTCACAAACCCTATTTTTCCCCCTGATTATCTCTTAAAGTGTAAATGTTGCTGAAAATATAGTAGTGGAGCTGTAAGAAGCAGAAAATGGGAGTAGCCAGAGCAGATGAGCCTCCCATGCAGGGGTTTCTAAAGGGTTCCTACGTTCCCCTGCTCCTGTGGTGGTGAGACTGCAGCCCCTTAATTTTCTCTTCGTCACCCATAATTACTCTTAGCAGGCCATGGCTTGCCATTGCCAGAGGATGTAAGATTAGTGCTGGGGGGTGAAACAGACCTTTGCACCAGAAATGCCCTCAAAGCTGCCTCCTCTTTTCCTCCCAGCTACATCCGTTGCTACTACTGGGCAGTCAAAACCCTCATCACCATCGGGGGCCTGCCAGACCCCAAGACACTGTTCGAGATCGTCTTCCAGCTGCTGAACTACTTCACGGGCGTCTTTGCTTTCTCTGTGATGATAGGGCAGGTGAGCAGGAGTCGCAGGAGATTCCCAGCCTCAGGGGGGAGAGGTTTCATTGGGGCTGATCCACAGGTTTTCATCTCCAAGTTAATTTCCCCATGTGAGGGACCTGCTCAGCAGCAGTGGTAAACAAAGATTTGCAGATGCTGTTAGGACTCAGTACACATGCTCTAGACTGCTTAGGCTGCATGATGAGTAAGTGGCAGGAATTAAAACACCTCTTCCACCTTTTCCTCCCATTCAGATGAGAGATGTGGTCGGCGCTGCTACGGCGGGGCAAACCTACTATCGGAGCTGCATGGACAGTACCATTAAATACATGAACTTCTACAAAATCCCCAAAACTGTTCAGAATCGGGTGAAAACGTGGTATGAGTACACGTGGCATTCTCAAGGCATGCTAGGTGAGATCCAGCCGCTCTGAGGGTCAAAACTTCCACCACACGTGTTTTACTGTGGTTGCTTTGCAGAGATGAGATGTTACTGTCAAACAGCACTACAGTTTTGGGGCAGGAGGTGGCTTAGTTACTCTGCACTTTAGGGGCTTGTTTGCCCACCTATAAAGTATATAGGCTGCCACCAATTCACAGTGCCACGGTGACCTGGCATCACTCACAGTGCGCTGAGTCCAGCATCCCACACACTGGTCCCTGGGGAGAGGGCAGTGACTGGCAATTGCTGGCCAGAGTGTGTCCAACAGGAAACTCACTAGTTCATCCTACCATCCTTAGGCAGGACCTCTGCGTCTGCTCTCCGGAACAAGAAAGGTGGCTTGGGCTCACCAGTCTGTCCCTGAGAGCAGGGATAGCCAGCTGAACATCGAGCCAGCACAGTGCCCAGGTGGCCAAGAAGGCCACCAGCATCCTGGCCTGAATCAGAAAGGTGTGCCTAGCAGGAGCAGGAAGGTGATCATGCCCCTGGACTTGGCACTCGTGACACTGCAGCTTGAGTGCTGTGTCCAGTTTTGGGCAACACAGGGTAAGAAAGACATGGAGGTGCGGGAGCAGGTCCAGAGGGCTGCCCAGTGAGGTGGTGGAGTCATCATCCCTAGAGGGGTTCAAAAAACAAGTAGATGTAGCATTTGAGGTTATGGTCTCATGGATAGGGAAACGTGGGGTGGTAGTTGGGCTTGGTGATCCTAGAGGTCCTTTCCAACCATGGTGATTCTGTGATTCTGTGAAGGGTGGCTCTCCATCAGTTGTTAGACCTGCAGGATGCTGGTTCGGCAGAGGCTGGAGGAGACCCTTCTGAGCAAGCTGGCTCCTGCCCTCTGCCACCAGAACAGAGGCTGCTTTCCCATGGCCACACCAAGAACACACTCAGTTCAAGGGCTGGAAAGAGCCAATTTTCTGCTGTGTCTCACAGATGAGTCAGAGCTGCTGGTGCAGCTGCCAGACAAGATGAGGCTGGACATTGCCATTGATGTGAACTACAACATCGTGAGCAAAGTGGCCCTTTTCCAGGTAGTCTCCTCAGTGCAGGTGCTAGCCAGCAGAGCCTGGTGTGCTGGCACAGTCTAATGGCACTGTGGCCTCTGTTTCGGCTCAGGGCTGTGACAGACAGATGATCTTCGACATGCTGAAGCGGCTCAGATCAGTGGTCTACCTGCCGAATGACTATGTGTGTAAGAAGGTAATGAGATGCTCAGGTGCCTTCCCGTTCCTAGTGTCACGGCGGAGATGTGCAGGGTGCTAGGAGTACTGCAGAGTGGGGAAAGCCAGGCCTGGACCATCACCATGGGGCCACTTCTCAGACTGGGAATTCAGAGCAAAAACATCCTCGGTTGCAGCTGGTCTTGTGCAAAGACTGACCTCTTCTGCTGCATCCATGAACAGCAGGAGAGCAGGGAAGAGCCTGCGGAGCTGGAGGAGACTTTGGGCTGCTTAGATGAGGATGCTCAGCAATGAGCATCATCAGGACAAAGTATTTTGATAGCTTGGAGAGGGTGGTATGGTCGTGGGGGTTCCCAAAAAGATACCAGTTTGGGCATCCATAAGGTCTCCCTGTTTCTGGACACCTGGTTAGGGCATTAGTAAGGTCTCTCTGTTTCTGGGCACCCCCACACAGCACCCACCTTCATTGCAGGGAGAAATTGGCCGTGAGATGTACATCATCCAGGCAGGACAAGTGCAGGTGCTGGGCGGACCCGATGGCAAAACTGTGCTGGTGACCCTGAAAGCTGGATCTGTGTTTGGAGAAATCAGGTGAGTCAATCATTGCCAGGGAGCCGGGGACATACAGCTCATGGGCTCTGGGTGGGGAGGTGAGAGGTGGGGAGATCAACAACACCCAGGCAACAAAGCTGGTGAGGGGTCTGGGGAACATGGTTTATGAGGAGCAGCTGAGGGACCTGGGGATGTTTAGTCTGGAGGAGGCTGGGGGGAGACCTTCTAGCTCTCTACAACTCCCTGAAAGGAGGTTGGAGTGAGGTCTCTTCTCCCAGGTTACTAGTACTAGGGTGATAAGAAATGGACCCAAGTTGCCCCAGGTGAGGTTTCGACTGGATATGAGGAAGAATTTCTTTCCTGGCAGAGTGGTGAGGCCTTGGCCCAGGCTGCCCAGGGAGGTGCTGGAGTCCTCATCCCCACAGGGGTTCAGGAAACACATGGAGACCTGGGGACGTTGTTTAGTGCTCATGGTAATGTTGGGTTGATGGTTAGACCTGATGATTTTGGAGGTCTTTTCCAACCTTAATGATTCTATGATTTTATGATTATGATTAATCTTTGTGATTAAGAGCCATGAACCGCATCTGCTACACAAATCACAGCTTTTTTTCTTGGAGCTTATCCACTGTTTTTGTCATAGTGCTGTTTTCTGTCCTGGGAGGTAGTGGCAGTAAGCAGAGGTGTACGGAGGGATGGGGAAATGAATAGGAGAAGATGTTTCACTAAAACAGCCTCCCAGGCATGAATCTGCCCATTTCATGGGTGTGTAAAGTCCTGTAACAACTTGTAACACGGTGATAGAGTCTGCGTCCCTACAGCCCAGCAGACACTAGAATGGTGTAAGAATGCAATATTTAAACCTTCAAACAGGCAAATAAATTTTTATACAGTGCTCTATGGCAAAATTTCCCACCATCCTTTAAAAAATTGCTTGGAAAATGTCATCAGGAGTGAAAATTAAACTCCGAGCCCTCTGAAAGAGAGAGGTGGAGATATGAAAAGGGAGATTTTAGGTTATGCTGAGCCTGTGAATAAGTGTTGACATCTCACCGTCTTTCTCTCAGCTTGCTGGCAGCAGGAGGGGGAAATCGACGAACAGCAAATGTCATAGCTCATGGCTTCGCCAACCTTTTTATTTTGGATAAGAAAGACTTGAACGAGATTTTGGTGCATTATCCGGAGTCTCAGAAGCTGCTGCGTAAGAAGGCCAAGTGCGTGTCGGGCTGCTGCTTCCCAGCTTGTGGGGTTTTAAATCAAGCAGAGTGTGGGTTTCCAAATCACAGGGGAATTTCTCTCTGTGTGAAGCCCTGGGAAAGCTGCTGCTGCTGCAGGCACCGGGCGTTAGGCACGTGTCTGAGAGGAGAGCTGGGCTGGAGCTTCAGCAGAGGGCACCCGTCCCTCACCATGGGCTGGTGGGGCTGGAGGTGCCAGGGCCATCCCAGCCCTGCTGCAAAGCTTCACCGCGGAAAGTGGGAGCAGCTCAGGAACCAACGTGGGCAAAGTGCCTTCACTTAAAAATCTATTAAAATATTCACTTTAGGTTTTAGCATTGCTTAGATTTGTTACTTTGTCCTTCCAGAGTCGTAAATAATCTCCACCCTTTTAAAGTCTGCTTTTTCTGCATTATAAAATCCAGCTAACGTAACACGGACCGAAATCACATCTCCTCTTCCTGCCCTAGGAAAATGCTGAAAAACAACAATAAGCCCAAAGATGAGAAAGGACCCCCTGGAGACCCACTGATCATCCCCCCAAAAGCTGACACCCCGAAGCTCTTCCAGGCTGCCCTGGCCGCCACGGGGAGGCTGGGGGGCAAAGGGCCGCTGGCACAGCTCCGGTGGAGGCTGAAGGAGCTGAAGGCGATGCAGGAGGCGCAGGTCAGTGTGGGGAGGATGGCAATTTGGCTTTGCTTCCTTCAGCGCCAGGTCACTGCTCTCCCCCGCTGCGTCCAGAGACTGAGTGTCATTAAGGTGCCTTAAAGGAGCGAGCTCAGGTCACTGGGGTCTGACAGAGCGTGGGCAGACGGGAAAGGGTCGTCTGGGATTTTACACACTGCCTTGGGAGAACGTCACTCTCCCAGAGGGGTGCGTTTTGCAGCACAAGAAGGAAATCCATTGACTTTCTGCCCAGCTATGCTAAGCCAGAGTCTAATTCCCGGCTGGTCTATTGCCCAGATGAACACCCTGTCCATGCCACAGAGACAGAGCCACTTGTAATAATCAATGTGCTGGCAGGACAGAGGGTCATGCTGGCACCCGGCATCCGCAGGCCAGTCAATATCTGCAAAGCTTTCCCAGCGTGAGAGCAGAGGCCCCAGCAGCAGACACATCATCCTGCCAGCTGTACGTGAGCTGCAGTAAAATCACCCAGGCTTTTTGTCCAGAACAACTGGAAAAGAAAATGGCCCTGCTCTTTTATTTTTTTTTTAACTTCCAAGTGCCTCTGCTAAACTCCTAAAAGATTCTATCTCCATGCAGACCTTGCTGTTACTCTTCCCAGCATGGAACTGTGCAGATTATCACATCCTGACACGTAAAGGGAGGTGAAAGAGCAGCTGATAGGGAGCATGCAGTGGCCTTGAGGCTGGGTAAATATCTCAGGAGATGCTGAAAACTGCTGGGAAAAAAAAAAACCAACAACAAAACAAAACTGCTTTTCTGTGGTTCTTCACAGAAGCATGACAAGGCTTTACATGATGCAATACTTAACACTAATTAATAACTAGTTACAGGCAGCAGTGGTCAGTGGCACCGTGTGCTCCATACAGTGCTGGCAACAAGACCCATCGTCAGAGAGTGCAGGTATTAGGAGCGAACCCTGCTAGTGGGCTTAGCAGAACCCTGTTAGAAGGATATTCCTCTCCACGACATGTCTGTAGGGAGGTTTCTAAGGTTCCTCTCTAAAGAATGCTTTAGGACAGGGCAGTCCGGGGCTACTCCCTTACAACAACACTTCTGCCAAGGTTTTGCCAAGATAATCCCCTTCAGATGCTTCAGGAGCCAAACGAGAGCCAGTGCAGGAGGTGAGAAACCTTCGTTGCACTCATCTCTATGCACTTCTCTCAAGGTGCGCAGGATAGAATCCAGCTGCCCTTCCCACCGCGATCACCTTTGGCAGCAAGCTGACATCCCAGTGATGAAGTCCAGTGTGGTGAAACTCCATGAAATGCCCACATGGCTTGCACAGTGCAGATGCCTTGGCTGGTAGTAGTGGACAAGGGTCTGCTAGGGTTGATTTTGCCTTTTGTTTTTTGGATCACAGGGTTTGAGCTCCAGTCCAATCCCACCAAAATCACCTGTGCACCAGAGATCACCTGTCACCTCCCATAAACCACGCACCCACCTGGAAGAAGAAATATTCTCAAAATCTTCTGATAGTTTAGTCACCATTCGTGTGATTTCTACCACACAAGAGGATGAAGAAATCCTCGCTGCTGAAATTTCAGAGAAAGAAGAAGAAAAAGAAGAAAAATAAAGAATAAGCAGATCCAAGGGCAGGAGTAGAACCAGGCAAACACAAGGAGTAGAAGCTTTTTGTTGTTAATGATTTCCATGCAGTGGCTGTAGGCTTCCCCAAGTGCTGTGGGTAGGATCTGCCTTTCTTTTCTGTCTAGACCTTCACGCACTGCTGATAAACCCCTCTGCCATATGACCCAGAACCATACAAGGTTTGCGTGCTCTGGAGATCTATTTTTATTGAGTGTCTTTATGAATATTCCCACTAAATCTCCTGCTAGCCCTCTTACTTTGAAATCCAGCCTTACAGAGAGGGAGCCCTGAAGAAATCGCTTTTTATGGCTCTGGGTGGTTAATTGTTGTTCAGATAAAGCATGAAGAGTTATTCACCTCTGACAGCTGAGTCATCCCTTGGCCAGAAACAAAAAGAGAAAAATAAAGAGGTTCCTCTGTTGGGCTCAAGGTCAGTAGCAGCTGGGGAGTGATTCATCCAGAAAGGATGTGAACTATGCTCACAAGCACTGGCCAAATCACACCGCCAAGAGAAGACCAGGGTCTGTCCTGGTGTGTATAGACTGCAAGATGCTCGAGGGTCCTAGTGTGGTTGCAAGATCACCCTGGGTTTGCCTCTGGGAAGGAGGAGTTCCTGCCAGCTGTCCGCCCCTGGGAGGTGGTGGGCTCCTCATTGCTGGTGGCTGTTATGGAGAGATTTGATGAGCATCTTTCAGGGATGGAGAAGCACAGTCCTGGAAAAGGAGATGCTCCTGGAGATCCCTGCAAGCCCTCAGGTTCTATGGCTGCACCGATCTACTACTGCCTGTGGGGATGAACTGAGTGCAGGAAGAGAGAGTTTCATGTTGGGAAGAGAAATGCAGGAACTGCTCTCCTCTCCCAGCCAGCCTTTCAGAGTCAGGCCAGAGCCTGTAGCACGCAAACAAGCACGCCCAAGCGTGCAGGTGGCCCCACGTGCTCATTGCTGGACCTCAGTGATGTTTAAAGCAGTCAATTTTCATCCCCTCTCAGTCACTGGGTTGGCTTTTGGCCATGTTTCCCTATAATGGGGCACTCATGAAGGCACTCTCCTAATGGTGCTGGGACCAGGTGCTGGATGGGAGGGCGAACACCTCATTAACAACCAGCATGGCCAGGTGATGGCTCGAGGCCTAGAATCCTCCTCCAGCACCTCGGAACCAGGAACCTAGAGTTGTTCCTCTTCCTCAAACCCAGCACCAACTGGAGTGAGCTGCTGGTGAGCTGGAAGGTGGTGAGAAGCGGTGGGTGAGCAAAATAGATCCTCCCCTAGGCTTCAGCAGGCCAGGTCCCTATGGCACCACTGGCTCCGTTGAGAGGAGCCAGTTTCCATCCTCTGGAGGAGAAGCTGGGTCAGGTTTTGCTGCAGGAGCAGCCCCGGCGCCACGGCTGAGGGACTTTTCAGGTGTTCAGCAAATACTGGGAGCAGAGCTGCAGGTTTCACAGGTCTCTCCATGAGACAACCGGGCTGTTCATGAAGGGTGTCACCGTACGGGGGTGATCCCACTTCCCATCAGCCTGGGGCTGGTGTTCACCTCCTATAGGGTCTTCTGATTTTGTTGCATTTTTTTCACTCTCTTACAAAACGTGCGATTCTGTGGTGGAAAAAGCCATAATATTAGTGTTAATTAATGATGGCTTGCTCTTTTAAATGTAATGAGCTCCAACATACCACAGGGGGGTCTGAAGCCACCACTGCCCTTAGCATTGCAGGGGAAAACCTGGACTCACCCAAACCTCCCTAAATACTTCTAAACCTCAGGCATTTGCAAGTGGTTTTCTGTTGGTGAGCAGGTTTCACAGGCAAGTGCAAAGTATTTTTTTTTTCAGTCTATAAATATTTATATAATGAAACCAGGAAGCATGCTCAAGTCAAACCAAGGTTCTGATTTGCTGCTGCAATTTGATATGGCTTAGAAAAAGCATCTAAATAAAGAGTGGGCTGTAATGGCTTTCATAATTCACTCTGTCTACAATAAACACCACATAGATTACCATTCATTTACTGTGGATTTATTTCAAAATTCCATTTTTCCCCCCCCTTTTTGCTCACTGATGCAACCACAGAGCCATGAAAGTCCCCACACGCAGTTCACAGATTTGCCAATAAACTTCTTGGAGGCTCAGAGGTCACATAATGCTAGTAATATAATTGTAATATTTTTTAATCACCGGAAGGAGGGGAAAAAAACAATGGCAAATGAAGATCTTAGTTTTCAATGTGATGGATAGGTAACTGGTCACTCTGGAGCCACGGAGAGATTTGAAATTATCCTCCTCTGCGATCTGTTTACAGCTTTATTTCTTCAGAGAGATTATTCTCCAGGCAATAATTAAGGTCAAGGTGGGGCTGGGCTTACAGGCTGAGTTGGAGAGATGAGCTCAGATCTATTTGCTATGCAGAACTATTTAGAAATGACAGGTAGGAGAAGGAGACAGGCAGCTCGCTTAGTGCATTTTGGTTTGGGGGTTGCCATGAGTTGGCTGTCTGCTAAACTGGGTAATTCAACTCATTTACCAGTTTTGCTGCACTTGCAATGGGCTCCCTTTATGATGGTTCCTACTAAATATCTTGCAGCATGCACTTCTCACAGGTCTGTTCTTTCCACTGTCCTTGCTATGCTCCTGATGGATTTGGTTACGCTCCATGTACCTTTACTGCATTTCTGATTAGCTTTTGCTCTTTCCACTTTGATGTCCTGAAGGATTGGGTCTATCCAATATGATGATATCCTCTAATACTATTAACACGGTATTGGGGGATCTCGCTATGCTGTTGCTTATTGCCAGTCCAGCACCCTGGAAATTCTGCATTGCAGTCTTACTTCTGACTGACAGATTTCTTCAGATGCCCATAGTCATAGAAACCAGGTTTTCGTGCAACAATATTGTAGCTGTTGCTGCTGTTGACTGAAATAAGTGGAATAGATAACTGCTGAAGGAAGAAGCAGAGTTTGCTGTTGTTGGGTCTGTGTTAATGCATTAGGTTTTGCCTCACTATCACAAGTAGCATCTTTACTGGAGGGTTTATATACCTTTTTTATATATCTACACACACACTTTTATGTATAGATAAGATACTTTTAAATATTTACATATACTTTTTATAGTGGAGGTGTATTCATATACCTTGTGATGTGTGCTGTTACACCTTGCAGAAAAGTGATGCTGATTTAATGTTCTGTATGAAATCAGAGGAGACAAATATCTCCGATTAAAAAATCAAATCCTTACAAAGGAATAATCTAACTCACCATAGACTTCTGGCTGTGGAGCAAGTTGTTTTCCTCTGGGTAGAAACAGGGCAGGTAGCTTCTCTGCATTTATAGTCAGACCAATCTTTTAAAAGGATTAAGTGCAATTGCAGGTTAATCACTGATAAGGTTATAACG